GCTCACGGGGATCCTTTCTGAAAAGCAGAGGCCGATTCACAGACCAGCTTCGCCTGCCGTTTGGTGTCGCACCGTGCCGTCTCGGGCCGCGCCGCTTGCCCGCTCTTGGTCCTCCGCCTTGTTCTCCTTGGGTCGATGCCCGTTTTCTGGGCCTTCGCTCTGCACGCTGATTCACACAGGATCTGCAATCTTCTAGCTTGGCTCCAGCTCGACTCCTCTCCGATTCCACTTCGCCTCGCTCCGAGGGACGGCCGACGCCGCACCGACGAGCGAGTCGAGCGAGTGGCTCCCGGCAGGTCCCCACTGCGTGCACCTGCGCTCAGATCCCTGCCTCTCCTCCCTCGCCCGCCCGCCCCCCCTCCTCTCTCACTCCCCCCCCGCTCTCCCCCGCCCCGCTCTCCCCCGCCCGCCCCCTCCGCCTTCCTCGCTCGCCCCCGCGCGCGCTGCCGCCGCCCAACACGGAGGGGCAGCCGCGCGCCGCCGCGGCCGCGCCGCGGCGCCGCCCCGGGCAGCCGCAGGTCGGCCTGCAGGGAGGGAGATCGGAGGCCTCCCGAGGTGCAGTCGCACGGTGTCGTCTGGGGACGTCTCTTCCACCGCCCCCCCCTCTCTCTCTCCCTCCCGCCTCCTCTCTCAATCCCTCGCCCTCGCGGCGGTGCGCCAGGGGGGGGGATCGGGGATTCCCCCAGCTGGTTGCCGGGGGAGGAACCCCCAGATTTGGACAACGGCGGGAGCAGGACGCCTTCCGAACGCCCTGGGGCCAGCACCCTCTCGAGTGACTCGAGACTTGGCCATGCGCTGAAAGCGAGCGAGCGAGCCTGCTCAACACCCTTTCCTCCACCCCACGCCCGCCCCCTCGTCCTCGCCCCCTTCTCCTCGAGCCCAGCCCGGCTTGGAATGGCCGCCCCGACTCGCACGGCCCCGTGCGGTCGGCCGCCATGGCCACAGAGGTGAGGATCTGCGGGCTCGGGTCCGTGTGCACGCTCTTCGCGGAGCCGACGTGGACGGTTCGGAGGCTGAAGCAGGCGGCCCAGGAGGCAACCGGCGTGCCCGCGCGCGAGTTGCGGCTGCTCACCGGCAGCCGCGAGCACGGGGAACTGGAGCGCCTGGGTGGCGTCCTGTCCGCCCGCGGCGACGTCGCGTGCGGCGCTCCGCTGGAGCTCTCCTGCGTGCGGCGGTGCCCCGAGCAGGCGCGGTGGCTCGAAGCGGTCGCGGCGGACGCGACTGGGGATTTCCTCGGGGAGGCGCCCGCGCACGTGCGCGCCGACCGCGAGGTGGTGCTCGCGGCGGTGGCCCAGAACGGGCGCGCGCTGGCGCACGCCTGCGACGAGCTGCGGGGGGACCGGGAGGTGGTGCTGCTGGCCCTGGAGGATCGGGCGCTTGGCAGTGCGGGGTGACCCGGAGGGGGGGCGGAGGAACAAGGGCCCTCGAGGGGGACATTATAGGGCTCCTTTTGGAGCCAGCGGGGGCCCAAAAGGGACCCCCAAAGGCCCCTGTAGGATTCTTTTCTCGGCGGCGTGCTAGGAGGGGAAGTGAGAAGGGGAAGGCCTTCTCAGAAGGCTGGGAAGTCCTCCAGCCTTCTGAGAGGTTTTTCTCCCCGAAGTCCTCCGGCCTTCTCAGAATGCGCGAGGGCGTCTGGGAAGTCCCGCCGCCTTCTAAAACTGCCTTCTCCTTCTCTTTTACCCCCTCGCTCGCCTGCAATGCTTTGTTGCCCCCCGTTTAGGTCAGCCCCCACTGCCACCCGCCCCACAGGAGGACCCAGACGCGCTGTGCCATGACCAGGTCGGACGACGGGGGGGGGGGGGCAGACCTGCTCGCGCCGCGGAGAAATCATGGCTGGGGGGTTTTGGGGCCGTCTTCGACCCTGGAGGCCCTCGCCGGGTCTCGTGGCCGCCAAGTGCAGTCGGACCGAGGTACAAGATCGAGTTCGGTTCGAGGAGGGCACCCTCGTGGCCTTGTCTGTTGGATATTCTTGTGCGCCCTGGGGAGGGTAGCCTTGGATGTTCGGTGTGTTTTGGCCGGCGGAGGGTCTCATTCTCTTGAGGGATGCTCTTCTGGCCTAGGTCCGACTGTACTACTCGGGATGGAAAACTGGCCCTTGGGAAAGGGTCGTGACTTGTGGGGCCCCGTACAACAAGACACAGAACATCGCACGTTTGCGGATAGGGAAGGTGTGGGGGGGTACGGCATCTGCTGCATGCACCTGGGCTCGGTCCCGCCTCGGGCGCTTCCCCCTATCTACGCTGGCGCTTCCCGGCGCCCGGGGCTTGTCAGTTGGAGCCGTGTGTCAGAAAGCACATGAGCAACGGCGCACATACCGCGCCACGCAAAACGCATGCAGTGCTTGCTTCCAGTCCCGAGCCAAAATTGTGTATCATTGGTCGATTGAAACTGCACATTGCCACACTTTTACAACTCGTGCATGTTTTGCCAATTCGGCAGGCCGCGTCTGTCGCGGCCGACCTTCTCTTCCTCGGCGGAGATCGGCGGAAGGCGGCGGGAGTAATATGAGGGCACCTCCGCCGGCGGACACCGGCGGAAACTCGGCGGAAGCCGGCGGGAGTAGAAGATGCGCTCCCGACGGGGGGGGACCCTCCCGACGGGGGTCAACCTCGCCTCGTCGTCGCGCCGCGACGGGGGTCGAAGCGCTTTCGGCGCGCGGTGGCTGCCCGCGACGGGGGTCGATGAGGGGCTGTCGGCGGGGGTGGCGCCCCTCCTCCTCCGCCTCCTCCTCCCCTTCCTCCTCCTCCTCCTCCTCCTCCTCCTGCTTCTCCCCCGACGCTTGTTAAGAAACTCGGAGTAGGACTGCTGCTGCGGAGCCAAATGCCGAGCAGAAGCCCGGTTACCTCTCGCGCCTGCCTGCGGCGCCGGCCCAGCTCGGCCTGACACTGAAGTCGGGCCTGTCCCTCTACAGGAGGAGTGTTCAAGTATTGTTTAACAAATATCGAAAGCCTCCCAAGGCCGAAAATGGCCCAAATTCTCCCGTCCTGATTTTTTTTGCGACGCGATCATGTCTGGGGCCGGAGGGTCGCGGCCGCGTCGGCGATGCGGCACGGTTCCCCGACCCGACCTCGGGAGGCCTCCCAGCACGCGGCCTACGTCGGGCCTCGTTAAATTCAAGTCGGCCCTTTCCCTCTATAGGAAAAGTGTTCAAAAATGGTCAACAAATAGTCTGGGGACGATTTTGTATTTCTCGTCCAAAATCCGCCAGTAGGGGGACACGCCCGACCTAACTCGACGCGTGCTTGCCGAGGAGTGGCAGCGCGGTCCGGCTTGCGACTAGTTGGGCCGCGCGCAGACGGGGGGCAGGGCAGAGGGGGAGGTTTCTGAGAAGCACCCCTGCTTCTCAGAAGGCGCGGGCCTTGCCTGTCGATGTAGGGCCTGCGCCTTCTGAGAGGCAGCTTCCTTTCAAGAGACCTTCCCCGCCCTCCCCCTACCCCCTGGTGCGTGCCGCCGAGGAAGGGCGGCGCCACACGGCCTGCGACTGACAGCGCCGCACCTGGCGGCCAAGATGCTTCGAGGTTCCCCCAGTTCGATTGAGGCCGCAGTTCGCGCCCGCCTTGTCCACTGCCTCCATCTACTGCTCCGCGTGTCGCGTGCCCGCGCGCGCTGGCGACGACGAGCGCGTCGCACGCTTGCACCCACCTGTCGACCGGCCCAGCCAGGTCGCCGAGGCTGGCCCTCGCGTCGTGCAAGGGCACCGTCAGGAACGTCGCGACTCGAGATGGCGATGACGACGACGCCGACCACGACGACGACAACGACGACGACGACGACGGGCTTCCCTGGCACATGCCAGTTTCTTGCCCATGTGATGTTGAGGTCTGCCCGCTATCCTGTGCCGCGAAGGTCCTCGCTGACCAGATGGCGCGCGCGGCCACCAGAGCGTCCCGCGACAGGCCGAATCCGGCGTAAAGTTTCGAGGAGGGCAGTTGGAGTCACGCCGTCGAGCACGTCGGCCCTGTCCAGCGAGAGCAGCACCATCGTGGGCTCTTGCGACGCGCAAGGCTTCCCCAGCAGGCGCCGCGTTAAACATGTGGCGTCAGCCGAAATGCGCCTGCCAGATGTTGGTGTCCGCACTGGCGATTTTCAACTGGCGCAGGATGATCATGGCGTGCGTTTTCCATCCAGCTTGCAGCAAATAGGCCGGTTGCTTGTGCACCGAAGTACGTCCCCTTTTTTTTGACTGCAGGCGTCCAGGGCGCAACCGTCTTTCCAGCGTTTCTGACAAAGCGTTGCCTCCCATTCCCTCCCTAGCCTTGCGTGCGTGCGCATGGCCTTCCACAGCTCCCTGGTGACGCCGTCATGGCCGCAAGCCTTGCCCCGTCGCAAGCGCCTCGCTGCATCGATGACCTCCTCCCTTGCGATATCGCCCGTCAGGGCCACCAGCTCGGGGCCAATGGAGGGAGTTGCCATCGGCGTCGGAGCTGGACCTCTTTGTCGCATGCGTGGGTCACTGGCGCAATTTGTTCCCAGTGCCGTCATTTCCCACTATCTCTTTTTCTTTTTGCACCCCGCAGCGCGATTACTGGCGTGATTTGTGCTTGAGACATGGTCAAACTAACGCAACCAAAGACGAAACAAACACCGAAAGAGGCTGCAACTATTGGGATATTTAAATGCAATTGCGGGACATATGGGGAAAGAGACCAATGTTGAAACGTGGCAGCGGGCATCGATTGATCGCGATGCGTCGTGGGCCACGGCGTCGAATCGAGGCATGCCCATAGGTTTTGTTCAAGCGGTTTCTTTGTTCCCCAAGGCCAAGGCGGACCGATGGCTGGGGGCTATGAGAAAGGGGTGGAGATTCCGGGCCTCACGCCTTGCGGACTTGGGCGCGGCGCTGGAGCGACGCGCCCACGATGACTTGAGGCCCCTGTTCCAGAAAGCCCGGTTGCAAACATTTATGGATGGCCGACATCAGATTGTTGGCCGCTTTCGTCGAGGACGCGGCCCGTGACCTGGAGGCTGGCTGTCCGCGCTGCGCGGTGCCACCTCCGCGTGGCATGGATCGTTCCGACGTTGTCACGGTTTTCGGCCCCGACGCCGGAGATTGCATATGGTTTGACGAGGTGGCCTCGGGTGCCCAGTGCGGCGTGCGCATCCTGGGCGCCTTAGGACGCGGCGCCCCCCTCCGTGCTCGCGCCTCGGGGGCGCGACCCCCGGGCGCGACCGTTTGCTGTGGGGGGGGGGGGGGGCGACGCGCGACCTCGCTCCGGCTGCATCGCGGCCTTGCGCGTCACGAGCAGGGAGGCCTACTACTGGCAATTCCTATCAGCGCATGGGGTTCGGCGGGCTTCATTCGTGTTCCGATTCGACCAAGCCTATCATTGCGTGGCGCCGCAATCAACGATGGCGCCTCGCTTCGGGACGCTGCCACCGTGGTTTGGACAACGTGAAGAGGGTCTTCGGCCTCGATGCCGCGGCGTTGAGGCGCGCGGTGCGCCCGGGCAGAAAAGCCGCGTCTGCGGCTTTTCATTGGGACCGCCCCCCTCCCAGCGTTGGCCGAGGCGCTCGCGGCGGGGCGGCTCGCGCCGGCCAAGCGGGGCAGGTTTGCCGCTGTTCGCGCAGGCGCGCTTCGCCGCCAACGAGACTGCTCCGTTGCAGTCCCAGGCGACGACGGCCGCGGCGACGCCGACGACGACGAGAGCCGCGGCGGAGACGACGACGACGACGACGGGCGACGCCGACGACGACGTGGGCGACGACGGCGACGACGGGCAACGACGACGACGACGACGCCGCGGTCGTCGTCGTTGTTGGGGCCCCAGCAGGGCCGGCGGGTTTGAGCCGGTCGTGGAGCTGCACATGGGTGCGGCTTCGGGGGCCCGCGCCCCGGCCGCGCCCCTCATCGTGCACGCGCGCCGTTCGGCGGGGCGCGCAGATGGCCAGCGCCCCCCCGGGGCCCGAGAGACGCAGGGATGGGGGCCTGTTTCGTGCGGGCCATGGCGCAGGGGACTGGCCGGTTCCAGGGGCGCTGCGGCGGCGGGCCCATCTGCCGCGCAGGTAGCTGCCTGGAGAGCTTCCCAGGGTGATTGCACGGAACTGTCATGCATTCCAGATCACAGGCACGCCAGTCTCTTGCTGATCGCAACTGGTTCCCACGATTAACTCCAGCGTGTTTTTTTTTGGGGGGGGGTCCCCCTTCTTCTTTTTCTCTTCTTCCTTCTTCTCCTTCTTCTTCTTCTTCCCTTCCCCCCCCCCTCCCGTCGATGCCCCATGTCCTGGAATTTCAAATGCGCGCGACAGCCGGATTTCTCGGGCGCGATGAGCGCTGTTCGAATGCCATTCGGCCCACATGGCATCTCGCTCCAGGCTCCGAGGGCGCCGTCGACTTGGGGGGTGCGCTTATTGCACGTGCGAGGCTGTTGCCAGGGCCCCTCCGCCCAAGCCATCCCCGCGCGCGTGGGTTGATGGCGCGGCGCACGGGCGCGAAGGATCTGGTGCCCATGTTATAGACAGCCTGCCACGGGCTGATCTCTGGGCCTTTCCGGTCCAACTTGGGGCCTTCTTGGGGCCGGTGGGGAGTTTCTTGGGCCGCGTCGGGTGCTTGGAAACCCGGATGGGCGAGAACTTCGACCTTTCAAAAACCAAGGGAGATCAATGGCTTCGTGCTCCTCGCGGACTGCCCAGGATGGCCCAGTGGGCCTTGCTCGGGTTGTCCTGGCGTTCTTCCCGGGCCGTCTGGATGCCTTCTTGAGGTGTCTTGAGTTGTCTTGGCTATCTTCAGAGGCTCTTGAGCTGTCTTGCGCCATATTGAGCCGTGATGTTGTCTCCTCGATTGTCTTGGGCGCCGTTTTGGGGGGCCAATCCGGGCCGTCTGGGGGCCGCAAAAGCCGCTGCGGTGTTTTGTCAGAGGGCCGCATTAATGTAGGTTGTCACGTGTGCCGGGTGGCGGCGGTGGGCTGGGGGCGGGTCGGGGCGTGGGCGGGGGGGGGGGGGGGTGGGGGGGGGGCAAATCTGGTGCGTCGCAGTTGACGACGACGCGCGCGCATTCTATTGCGCTCGCTCCGTGCAGGCGCGGTGGCGGGCCCGGGCGAAAAGCGACGCGCCTGACTTCGGTCGAGACAGAGGTGGGCCTCGAGCAGGCAGACCGATGCAGGCAGGGGGAGAGGGGGGAAGTCTCGGAACGCCTCCAGGGAGTCAGCCGCAGGGCTTGCCGCGGGAAGGTCTGCTCTCGGATGGGAGCCGCAGATGGCGCGGCATTCAAGTTGAAGCGGAAGCTTGGGGGCTCGTGGATATGGCGCAGCGACGCGGGGGGCGCGTTCAAAGCGCCGCCGGCTCTCTTCGGCCAGGGCGCGCCGTTTGAGACGGCTCTGTCTATCACTTGCGGCCTATGCGGCGTCGCTGGCAAGCAAGCTTTTGGCGGGGGCCGTCGAGAACTCGCGGGTCGTCGAAGAACTCCAGGAGGCCCCGGGCACGACAGCGCCGCTCGTTGGCACTTGGAGATGGCAGCTAGCAGAGGAGACGTTCGGCGGAAAGGAATGCCGCATTGCGTCGTGACAGGGACCCAGGGTTCAGTTTTTCTCAGACGTGGACAGGCGCCAGAAACGGAGGAGCACAGGTGCTGGGAGTGCGCGGCGCGGCCGAGTCCCAGGACTTCCTCGTGCGAACTCATCGCGAAGGCGAGGGGGGAAGCTGGTGCGTTGCGTCGGCCGTCCAAGCGAAGGTCTTCCCCCCTTCGCTTGGACGGCCGATCTGGTGCCTCCTGATGGGCCCATCCTTTTTTCCCAACCATCCTGCGTTGGGTACTCGTTTTGAATAGAGCACTGCGGTCTCCACCTTCCTTCCCGCCCCCGCCTCCTCCCGCGTCCTCCTCTCTCCCTTCTCCTCCTCTCTTTGCTCGTCCTCTTCTCGCTTGCCTTGTACATAGGGGCGGCGATCTGCGAGACTGCCGTCGCTTTCGAGGGCTGCTGGGGGGCCCAGCGGAGTGACGCCCTACGGGGATTCAGATTAGACCTCGCCATCCCTGGGGGGCTGCGATCTGTGAAACTGTCGCCACTTTCGAGGCTGCTGGGGGGCCCGGCGGAGTGACGCCCTACGGGGATTCAGATTAGACCTCGCCATCCCTGGGGGGCTGCGATTTGTGAAACTGTCGCCACTTTCGAGGCCTGCTGGGGGGCCCAGCGGAGTGACGCCCTACGGGGATTCAGATTAGACCTCGCCATCCCTGGGGGGCTGCGATCTGTGAAACTGTCGCCACTTTCGAGGCTGCTGGGGGGCCCAGCGGAGTGACGCCCTACGGGGATTCAGATTAGACCTCGCCATCCCTGGGGGGCTGCGATCTGTGAAACTGTCGCCACTTTCGAGGGCTGCTGGGGGGCCCAGCGGAGTGACGCCCTACGGGGATTCATTAGACCTCGCCATCCTGGGGGCTGCGATCTGTGAAACTGTCGCCACTTTCGAGGGCTGCTGGGGGGCCCAGCGGAGTGACGCCCTACGGGATTCAGATTAGACCTCGCCATCCCTGGGGGGCTGCGATCTGTGAAACTGTCGCCACTTTCGAGGCTGCTGGGGGGCCCAGCGGAGTGACGCCCTACGGGGATTCAGATTAGACCTCGCCATCCCTGGGGGGCTGCGATCTGTGAAACTGTCGCCACTTTCGAAGGCTGCTGGGGGCCCAGCACAGTGGGGGGGATTCCCTCGGGGGGGCTGCGAGTGAAACGGTCGCCACTTTCGACCTGCTGGGGTAGTGATTAGACCTCGCCATCCCTGGGGGGCTGCGATCTGTGAAACTGTCGCCACTTTCGAAGGCTGCTGGGGGCCCAGCACAGTGGGTACTCACGGCGGATTCAAATGGGACCTCGCCATCCCTGGGGGGCTGCGATTTGTGAAACGGTCGCCACTTTCGATGCCTGCTGGGGGGCCCAGCACTGGGGGGGCTGCGATCTGCGAAACTGTCGCCACTTTCGAGGGCTGCTGGGGGGCCCAGCACAGTGGGTACCCACGGCAGATTCAAATGGGACCTCGCCATCCCTGGGGGGCTGCGATCTGTGAAACTGTCGCCACTTTCGAGGGCTGCTGGGGTGCCCAGCACAGTGGTACCCACGGCAGGTTCAAATGGGACCTCGCCATCCCTGGGGGGCTGCGATCTGTGAAACTGTCGCCACTTTCGAGGGCTGCTGGGGGGCCCAGCACAGTGGGTACCCACGGCAGACTCAAATGGGACCTCGCCATCCCTGGGGGGCTGCGATCTGTGAAACTGCCGCCACTTTCGATGCCTGCTGGGGGGGCCAGCACAGTGGGTACCCACGGCAGACTCAAATGGTACCTCTCCATCCCTGTGGGGGCTGCGATCTGTGAAACTATCGCCACTTTCGAGGGCTGCTGGGGGGCCCAGCACAGTGGGTACCCACGGCAGATTCAAATGGGACCTCGCCATCCCTGGGGGGCTGCGATCTGTGAAACTGTCGCCACTTTCGAGGCCTGCTGGGGGGCCCAGCACAGTGGGCACCCACGGCGGATTCAAATGAGACCTCGCCATCCCTGGGGGGCTGCGATCTGTGAAACTGTCGCCACTTTCGAGGCTGCTGGGGGGCCCAGCACAGTGGGCACCCACGGCGGACTCAAATGGGACCTCGCCATCCCTGGGGGGCTGCGATTGTGAAACTGTCGCCACTTTCGAGGGCTGCTGGGGGGCCCAGCACAGTGGGTACCCACGGCGGACTCAAATGGGACCTCGCCATCCCTGGGGGGCTGCGATCTGTGAAACTGTCGCCACTTTCGAGGGCTGCTGAGGGGGCCCCGCACAGTGGGCACTCACTGCGGGATTCAAATGGGACCTCGCCATCCCTGGGGGGCTGCGATCTGTGAAATTGTCGCCACTTTCGAGGCCTGCTGGGGGGCCCAGCGGAGTGACGCCCTACGGGGATTCAGACTAGACCTCGCCATCTCTGGGGGGCTGCGATCTGTGAAAGGATCGCCAGTTTCGAGGGCTGCTGGGGGGCCCAGCACAGTGGGTACCCACGGCGGATTCAAATGGGACCTCGCCATCCCTGGGGGGCTGCGATTTGTGAGACTGTCGCCACTTTCGAGGGCTGCTGGGGGGCCCAGCACTGGGGGCTGCGATTTGTGAAACTGTCGCCGCTTCCGAGGGCTGCTGAGGGGCCCAGTATAGTGGGTACTCACCGCAGATTCAGATTAGACCTCGCCATCCCTGGGGGGCTGCGATCTGTGAAATTGTCGCCACTTTCGAAGGCTGCTGGGGGGGGGGCCAGCACAGTAGGTACCCACGGCGGATTCAAATGCGACCTCGCCATCCCTGGGGGGCTGCGATATGTGAAACTGTCGCCACGTTCGAGGGCTGCTGAGGGGCCCAGCACAGTGGGTACTCACCGCAGACTCAGATTAGACCTCGCCATCCCTGGGGGGGCTGCGATCTGTGAAACTGTCGCCACTTTCGAGGGCTGCTGGGGGGCCCAGCACAGTGGGTACTCACCGCAGACTCAGATTAGACCTCGCCATCCCTGGAGGGCTGCGATCTGTGAAACTGCCGCCACTTTCGATGGCTGCTTGGGGGCCCAGCACAGTGGGAACTCACCGCAGACTCAAATGGAACCTCGCCATCCTTGGGGGGTTGCGATCTGTGAAACTGTCGTCACTTTCGAGGGCTGCTGAGGGGCCCAGCACAGTGGGTTTCCCGCACGTCTTTCTCCTGCTCTTCGTCCCCGACTCCCCATGTCTTCTTCGAGCCTGTAGTTGTCGCCCCTCGTTCTTGCATGGTTCTCCTGCGCAGCATGCCATTGGCGCGTGTCCCAAGTAGCTTACATATCAAACAACGGATCCTGCAATTTGATGGTCCGTGCAAGTTTCGGCCAACTCCTCGTTTCCCATGATACAAATGGGCTGGGTACGTCACAGGGTATTTTTTTTGTTGTTGGACAGATATTATTAGATTGTGCGTTTGGGATCCAGGGTGCAATTTCAGGTTAGGGGGCGCTTGTGCAGGGCCAGATCAGGGCTCGCATGGGGGAGAGTCCTGTTCGGTCGTTATCCATGGCGGCTTTCGAGAGGAAGGGGGGCGCGGTGCTCGGGAGTTGGAGCTGGCGCACATTTCTGGAGGAAGCTTGCCGGGGCCTTCTCGGACTGTCAGTCGCTGCGAAACCGCGGCTCGGACGGTACTTTTAGTTTGTGCACTATTGCGAGCTAGCGCCGCCCATGTTGCCGATTTTGCGCGCGTCATGATCGGGCGGGCGGCGTTGGGGGGGCGACGCGTGGAGGGCTCGGAAAAGGATCCTGAAAAGGGGCCTCTGCGGGTTCCTCTCGGGGCCGGCAGGGGCCCTGAAAGGTTCTATTCGGCGCATTTTCTTCGCCCCCATTGCCGCGCGCCCGACGTGGAAGGCGTTGACGGGGCGCGTTCGCGCAGACTCCCCGCGGCGCGCGCTGGCGCCCGCGGGGCCGGGCCAAACCCCCCAGAGAATTCAGCGCGCAGATCGCAGGCCCTTCTAGTGGAAAGTTGCATGGCGGCAGAGCAAGCAGCGCGGGGGGGCGTTGGCCCTGCGCGTTTCGCGGCCACTTCGGTTGCGGATGCAGTTGCTGGAGTTTGCGCAATCTAGTTCAGAGTGGCACGCGCAGACATAGCCAGCAGTGCGCCCGGGGAGAGCGCTAGCACATGTCATCGATGCGGCGCCAAAGCGCACGCCGACCCGCGCGCGTCGCAACCGAGAGAGGGGGCGCGGGGGTGAGGATGCCGAGGCGGGGCGCTGCAAGCTCGCGGAGCACCGCAGAGGCAGGTTCTGCGGCTCTGGAATGCGACGCATGGAGTGGGGTGGGGCGCGGCTGGTAGACGAGTGTTAGGGCGGCGCTTTCTCGGGCCATGCGCGCGCGGTTTGTCGCGCAGTGTCGCGCTATCGCCCGCGGGCCCTCGGAGTCTGAATGGCAGGGAGTTGCGAGATTCACGTGCCATTGGGGCTGGGCCCATCGAGGGCTCGGCGCGCCCGTCTGCCCCGCGCGCGGTTTTTCCCCGGAGAGGCGCGCGCGTGTGACTTGGAACCTTCCAGGACAATCCTACAGTGAATGGGGTTTCCCGCGAGCAGCCCTTCGCGACCCCCTCGAGCTCCGGCGGGGCCTGCGGGGGCAGGTCATTCGACTGCTTCTTCAGGCCCTTGATCGAAGCGTAATTGTGCAGATCTGACCAAGTCGCTTATTTCTCTGCCGCTCGTGGACGCTCGCGGCGAGCGCGTGCTCGCTTCCACCTTGAACAAGGTGGCGCGAGGGTCGTGCCGCTCCTTCTGGGCCCGCTTCAGGCCAAAACGGAAGTTTGACGCGGCGCTGTCGGCGGCGTCGAAACCATCCGCGGCCCGGACCTGTTGCCGCCGCTGGCGAGGGCCCCGCCGCGGAGGGGCGCCGCCGCCTGGCCCTGCCCTGCTGCGCCGACGAACTCGGCGCCGACGATGCCCTTCAGTCTCCCTTGATGTTTGCGTGTGTCGGTGCAGTTCGCCCTGTAACAGTTCGACTGCCTTCGAGAAGTTTTTAATTTGGTCGAGACTGCCGATCGCCGCGGC